GCAACATGTCTCTATACTGTACTCGAGCTACTTATGGTTATTTTATTCATAAAGGTATGATTATAAGTAGCCGGCAGGAAAGGTAGTTATTTTACGGATAATGCCGCCTATCTCGGTAACGGAAAAGACCTGAGAAGAGATATTTTCGAATTAGTCATGTCCTTACGCTAATAAGTAACTTGCAAAAAAGATTTTTCTTCAACTCGTCTGCAAAAAATCTCCAGCCAAATCTATTTCTACTCCATATGCCAAAAGCAACTCAAATTCGTTTTAAAGAAATTGTTTTCCCGGGTAACCAACTCTCTCTCAAATTTTTTTCACTCGTGCCGGACCCTACAAATGGAGAAATCATAAATGGCACCATCTCTGCTCTTTATATTTTTCACAATGTAACAAGAAAAGATACAAGAAGAGGTAACCAAAAAAAATATCTCAACAGATTGGGTTACAGAGGACATCGCACCCCTTTTTCGTTTACGGAAAACGGCGAGTAAAGTCGCTGGACTAGTATTGTTTGTTTTATCATGTGGAGTGAGAAAGGAAAAAACAAGTAGCACCAGAGTAAGAAATACGAAGCGTTCTCTTCAGGAATAAAATGTTATAACATCTTCGTTGAGTCACTGAAAATAAGTTTTACTTATTTTTTCCAAAAAAATAGACGGAAACCAGACAAACACTGGCAGAATGAATGAAGGCAGTTTCTATGTTTCTATGGTTTTTGAAAACGTTGAGAAGCAAAATTTTGTGCCACCTTGGATTACAGAGGATAAGAGCTCGTCTGCGGGTAGTTTATCACTTCTATTTGCTCCATCAATGGAACTAAGATATGTAAACCTGTTTGCAACAAGCAGAATCTATAATAAAAGTTAATATTCCTAAGTTTTTAGTAACAATTTGCTTCCAGATAAAGGCAAAACTAGAGCTCTGTGATGACAACAGTGGATGCACTTCAACGGTAGCCCATCGTAGAAGTGCATCCCCTATCCACTGCCGTGATCATAGAAATGTTCATTCTTTTTTGGCATCAAGCGTCTTATCGTAAAAGAAAACGTTGTGTGCGTCTTATAAGACGTGTAGCATTTTTTACAGTGGCCACTAGTTAATCAGACCACCATTGCTTTATTGCTCTGTCCTTTTCTCTTATCCATGCTGATGTCCGATTCCTATTGGTTGTCCCTATTGTCGCTCTGTTTGGTTTGCTGATTTTGCTTCTTCCTGTTTTGTGGGGTGGGTGTACACGATGATCTAACCGCGCAGTAGACGAAAAAAGTGTTTCGTTTCGTGTTTCTATGTCGATTTTTTGCAGACGTTCTTCTCAAGCTTAAATATATTGAAAAAGAATAGCATTTAATAATTACCCATTCAAAATTAAATTGAGCTTGATAGGTTAAAAATGCTCTTCGACTACACTAGCGACTTGAATGAATGCAGTATGTGTGCACTTACTCAAATCGCTAGTGTAGTCGAAGAGCATTTTTAACGTATCAAGCTCAATTTAATTTTGAATGGGTAATTATTAAATGCTATTATTTTGCAACATAGTTAAGCCTGAGAAAAACGCCTGTAAAAAATCGACGAAATCCATAGCAACGATATTCCTTGGCCGTTATATCACGGGAGGAATCAAAGCTAGTCATCTTTTCTTGACAAACATCGTTCTCGACCGCCGTCAGCAGAGGAGTGTATTCAGTCAATTATAGGCACAGTAAGAAACCACCACATGAAAAGCTATTTGTGCAGAAAGGGATTGATCAACTTTTCTTGCCTTCCTTTTCTGTTTGTTCACTTTTTCTTTCGCAATTGCTAAAGTTTTTCCGCTTTTGAAAAGTTGATTTCATTCCCATTTTCCGAGGCACCTCTGATAAGTGCCTTCGTTAGGTATACTCCTTAATTTGAATTTAAAACCTATTCTGCAGTTTTTCAGATGGATGTGCGGGTACATCCATCGTGCACAATGGGAAAAATATAGAACATTTGACTGCAACAAAACTCCAAGGCTATTTCCTAAACCCTTAAGAGTCTTTTACTAAACCTTTTAGGTTTTAATGATTATAAACCCGTAAGGTTTATAAGAATCTTTTTAGCAGGTCGTTTGTAGGTTTAGTAAACGAAGCTTATTTTTTAGAGTGTAGGAAGATACGGTATGCTATTAATTTTCATCGTAATAAGTTAATTACGCCTTGATATGAAAAATAAGGCGATAAATGTTAGAAAATTAGTTGGGATGAACTGAAAATAAAAATTATGTGAAAAGTTAATTGGAACAAAATGAGAAAATAACTATGGGACTAATTGAGAGAGACTAATTTAGGACGAACTGAGAGGACACCGTACTTAAACAGTATAGACAAAAGGGTGGAGAACATATATGTCACATTGTACAAATACAGAAATATATTGAGAGAATATAAGAGACGAAGAGAGTTGAACAAACAGGAGACAACGTCTATATGTTAGCCTTTAACACACATGACGGCAGCTGCAAAATGGTTCAATAGAAAAACACGGGTTCTCGCTAGAACCTTTTTTTAAAATGTTGAACCATTTTTATTTGAAATGGTTCTTGACATCGGCTGGAGCCTTTGATGGTTCGATGCAAAAACTATCGAACCTTAAAAGGTTCTGCATCTCTGCTAGAACCTTGAAATCAGGTGCCTGATCTTTAGAGAGTACATAAAGAGAGTGCGAACACACAGTGTTTATGTGGCCATCGTACTATGAACGAAATACAACCAAGGGAGAGAAGAGAGAATCCAAACACACGATGATTGATGTGGCAGTGGTGTCATGAATGATATCAGATCGAGGAGAAAAAGAGAGGAAAAGAAGAAAACAATATTAGAAGATGCAGAGGAGAGCGAGCGATGCACTGGAAGTGCATAAGGTAAGGCGCGCATAATTTAAAAATCAAGTACTATTTTATTTTTAGCTTCTTCAAATATGATTCGCTAGAGAATTTGAAGCTGATCACCAATATCGCCTTTTTAGCCTTCCCAGTGCACGTTTGCGCGTCGAAAATTTGAAAATACGGGAAGGGTCATAAAATTTGAAAAACTTTCCCGTTTCGAAAAAAGTTGAATACTTTTTCTTCCTTTTATTTTGAAACTCTCAAACAGCATTTTTGCTAATTCAGCGTTGAAAATTGAATTGCGAAATGTGTTTTTGATGCTTCTCAGATATAATGTCATTGCACGAAAAATTCATCTTCAAGGATATCTCCAAAGCAGACACCTCGTCGGAAAAAGCTATCTAGATGTTTTTGGTAAAAGAACATTCGATCGGTCTTTATTCGTACTACAAAAGTATAACTCGTTTTTTTTGAATTCCTCTCCGTTGCTGAGAAATTTCACTTTTGCTAAATCAGGAGCGAAAAATTGGAATTCTGCCCGTAATTCTCAATTTTCTCTCTTAGTTTTATTAAGAGTCAGCGTCAAAAACTGACTCGAATGATATATGATTTGAAAGTTTCCGTTGAGTTTCATTTTTCGGTGTATATCTCAATAAACTTCGAAACACACAAAAGTGAGATTTTCACCAAAAAATGAAGGGAGTCGTAGTCCAGCACCTGTCTCTGCCTGGAATCAAAATTCAAACTGTTGATTTTTATATATTTATTTACAAACGATACAATGAGAGCTTGTGTTCGTATTTCAAACTATTTGTACATTCATCTGTGCTATAATAAATCCTTTTCTGATTCAAATCACAATGCAGATTTGAAACCTCTTATTCATGTCTAGATAATTATATATAACTTCTGTCACACAGCATATTCGAATCTGAAAATTGGTTTTATGTGTATATTCATAGATCTGGAATAAAAGGTTTTCGAATTTCTATTTGAAAACTCTGTTCATTTATATATTTATTACTACTTCAATAATGTTATAGCACAGATGTGTATATAAATACAAAAATAGTTTGAAATACGAACACGACAAGCCGTTCAATAAAGTGCCTTAGAAGTTGAAGCTGAGTTGGAATTGAAAACATACGTAGGTACATTTCTTTGCATGTTATACAAGATACTGTTTTCGATTTTGTAAAATCAAATTTTGTGAAACAGAATGAAGCATTCAATCGATATGTTCAACGATGAAAGATCTCGAACAAGAAATATTCGAAATCCGACGTAGACTCTTAGTAGACGGCTACCCATCGAATTTCTTATCCGAAAAATGAAAACATAAAAAGGTCGACTTGTAACTGATGTAACTTATAAGGCAAACCTTTTATCTTTCTATAGCTCTACATCAAAGTTCGTTTTCTACCAAACCTGATTTATACTATGAGTTGAATTAGGCAGCTACTCCTTCACGGGTAATCACTGTAGCGAACAATAGTAGAGAATAAAGTGATTTTCTGTCCTTCTATCTTTCTCCACGTTTTTTAATTTCTTTTCTTTGTCGCCGCCGCCATGGATGGATGATTATTGCAGCAAGAAATATCATAAAAGACAGCCACTTGCGTGTCTTCTGAAGTGCTCATCATGCTTTAGTAGCTCTCCTCCTGTTCATATTTCCACTATTCTATATTGACGAGAGACCTCATCCTACGCAATTAGTTGTTTCTGATGCATTGCAAGGACAATCTCTCGCTAACTATTCATTTCTTTATCTCCGTCTCCATGTTCCAGATAAAAAAGATATCTTCGGTATAGGAAATACATTCAAGCATTCGATAACAATACGATAGTTTGACACGATGAGTGAGGAGCATGCATTAGACGTGGGAAATTGTTTTCTCTCGACCACTTTTGTGAATCTACGAGAATTAATTTCTGTTGAAGCATGTGAAATGGGGCGGTTAAGGCTTGCAGCATGAACTATCGCTAGCTTTTGAGTATGGTCAAAAAGCATACCTGGCTTGCGGGGGGAAGATTTTGGTTCGGAAACAGAGCCAACAATGACTGCCACGAGGCACACAGCAGCCGTCAATAAGCTAATTGCACCGAAAAATCTCTTCTTCCTATACCAACGACGTCTTGAGGATGTGCTAAAAATCCCGGCCATAAATACAGTTAGATGAAGACAGCGAGACTTACTCATTTTTTGGATAAAGACATCCGCCTGTTCATAGAAATACTTCAATAAAAAACAAACTATTGAAAATGTTCAAAATACCTTCGAATGGAGGCTCAAGTAGCATTTCCTCCGGCATCTTCTGTTTCAAATGAACGATATGGAGATCGGGCGCTGGATTGAATTGTGATTGTACTTCCATGTATGTTCCCGGCAGCATCAGAAATTCGTCCTCCGTGTCAAAATGTGAATGAGCGCGTATATTCCTGCCATTGAAGACTTCGATGGAAAAGAGGGTTCTCTCGCCTGTTTTCCCCAAATATAAATCGTTTTCTAACACCGTGAGCGTTGCTGTACCCGATGTGAAAGTCCACCATGTCACTTGATCCCCAAGCCGAAATTTGTCACTAATATTTTTTCGCACACCACACCAAACAGTCTGGATAGGCGCGCATGGTATTTTGGCTAGGGCAGTGAGAAAAATTTTGATGTATTTGAACCATGGTCGTAAGTCTTCACGATCAGCTGACTTGAGAGTGTGATTGAGAATCGAATAGAGGCTTCTACTTTCGTCTGCCCACTCCATCGTGTAGAGATGAATGGAAGCTGCTTCGTCGCGAGTCAGACCATCAGCTGGATCATCCGGAGTACGTTCAAGAGCAATCGAAACATAAGCGGATATATCGTCAATAATGGAAGCCAACGGTGCGCATGCGTCAGCAAGCGGGACAAGTGACTCCTGGGCATAGCCGATTATAGGATCGAGCATTTTTGGCCCTTCGGAATCTTCGATTAGTAGGCGTGCATTTCTATGGCGAACGTCTGATTCATAAATTGCAGACGGAACATCTAATTCATGCCCCTCACTCATCGTGTCAAACTATCGTTTTGTTATCGAATGCTTGAATGTATTTCCTATACCGAAGATATCTTTTTTATCTGGAACATGGAGACGGAGATAAAGAAATGAATAGTTAGCGAGAGATTGTCCTTGCAATGCATCAGAAACAACTAATTGCGTAGGATGAGGTCTCTCGTCAATATAGAATAGTGGAAATATGAACAGGAGGAGAGCTACTAAAGCATGATGAGCACTTCAGAAGACACGCAAGTGGCTGTCTTTTATGATATTTCTTGCTGCAATAATCATCCATCCATGGCGGCGGCGACAAAGAAAAGAAATTAAAAAACGTGGAGAAAGATAGAAGGACAGAAAATCACTTTATTCTCTACTATTGTTCGCTACAGTGATTACCCGTGAAGGAGTAGCTGCCTAATTCAACTCATAATATAAATCAGATTTGGTAGAAAACGAACTTCGCTGTAGATTTATAAAAGAATCAAGTTCTATAAGAACATAATATTTGGAACGTTTTCGGTTTTGTGAAATTAATTATTTTTACGGAAACCTCAAATCTATATGTTTCCTTTTTCAGATCATTCCGATACCTTGCTACGACTCTCGTAATACTACAATAATGTAGTGGTATCCAACACAATCTGCGACTAAATTTTCTACATACATCTCTAACTGCATGGAAGATGAAAACGATAGGCCTATTCAAATAACATCTCGGGACTTGTTTCTGGGTAAACTGAAATGGTATTTCGAGAGTTGGAAGCCGTTGGTCGAAAGGCAATTGGTCGAACAGACAGTTCATCAAACGTCGAAAAAATTTTTTGTCGAAAATATTTCGTTGAAAGATAAATTTGCCGAATCGGCAAATTATCTTTCGACACAGACGATTAGGCGAACACAAATTCGTGGAAATGATAGTTTGTAGAAGAAAAAAAATAGTCGAAAGATAATTTGTCGATTCGGCAAATTTACCCTGCAACAAAATATTTTTCGACAAAAACTTTTTTCGAGGAACACACTTTTGGACGAAAACTTTTTCGACATTCGACGAATCGTCTGTTCGATCAATTGTCTTTCGACCAACGGCTACTTTCACAAAACCTATACTTTTAACTTTCATGCTGAAATTACTGATAATGATTCATCTTATTGAAACTTAAATGACTGTCTTTAAGTGTTTTGAATTTTTTCTCTTCATTCTTTCATTACGGCAGAGACTGGGTTCGCTTGCTTTGCAGAAACAGCGTGGATCTATTCAAAGAAGGTGTACTAAAAGGAAATGTTTAACATGTTCAACTCTGATCCTAATACTCATCGAAAATGTCATATTTGCTCAGGCTTTTTCTTCTCTTTCAATCCAGATATAGTAATGAATTTGGAAAATACAACGCGGACAATAAATTAGTCATAAAAAATGAATTGTTATTAATGATTTTTCCTTCGCACTTTCGTAGAAAATTTAGTAGCAGAATTATTTGAAGATTCTAACATCTGAATAACCACACTTCAAAGTTCGAAAAGAGATCTGTTTTGGAATTTTCTCGATAGCTGTGTGAGCTCTCTTAGAATCAGATCAAATTTTCACTTATGACTATCTTCGTTACTCAACTTTTCGCATCGATTCTTTTATCCTTTTTTCCCTTTTGCGATGTACAGCATAAGTCCAAGGCTGCGACTCAAAACATTTTGTCCTTTCCGAGAAAAATGTCACACGATATTTTTTCGGTTGACAATGCCCCGTGAGATTAAACCCGTCATCGGCTTGTCTAAAGGTGACGCTGTGACATAAAAAGGCCCTAAATTCTAACTACTCCTCATTAAAGTGCACATTCTTGCGAATTTAGAAGAGCTAATAAAAACTGTCTCGAACAAGGTTTATAGAGGAGCTAACTAGCTTTCTTTTGCTAAAAAGAGTTTTTCTCAGAGCCCTTTACTTTGTTTGTAAAACCCTATTTACTAAAGTGATGCTGTGACACACTTTCTTTTTCTCTTGCGTATTCTCACTTCAAATCAGTTAGAATTCGACTGAATAGACCTTTCAGGCCTTGAGATAGTTGTCTTTTCGACTTACAGAACTAAGACATCAGTCGGCACAGAATTTCACGGTGATTCCGAAAATGTATATTTGCCTATTTGCCTCCAGATGCAAGTTTTTGAGGAAAAAAGTAGTGCATTAGAATCCTCGTGAAAAGTTGGCAGTACTTTTTAAAATGAAATTGTGAATGCCGTTTACTAAAACTTTTAAGCAACGGCTTTTGTTAACGCTGTGACCGGCGAAATTATCAAGTATTGTTTTGTCTATATCTCAGTGAGGAAGAACGGAAAAGGCTTCGTTCTAGCTTCAAAAGAAAGGCCGTACTCGATAGTTTAGATACGATTTCTTATCTTTTGTTGGAGCAAAACAGTGACCTACACTATTCATTTGAAAACAGGAGCACAACAGATGTGACGAACAAGATAGTTCGTTCGACTTACTGCGCATCATATGATGGCTCACAGAACTCACTTGAGAAAATAAATTCATTTTCTGACACTTTCGACTATACTTTACAACCTGGCATAAACGGTTTTGTCTGCTTTTGAAAAAATACTTAATCATCGAAGTGTCGCGTTGCGTGGACAAGCCGCCATGTCCTCATGAAAAATACACTAAATTTAACTGTATCGTGAACCATCTGATAAAGCTAGACACTAAAAATCTAGTCATGTGCGTCTGGTAGCCTTGTCACGTAGTAGTTGTATCGTGAACCATCTGATAAAGCTCGGCAATAAAAACCTAGTCATGTACGTCTGATAGCCTTGCCACGTAGTAGTTGTTTTTTTGAAGCTAAAGAATCTTGAATAATGCATTTCTTAGAGGTTTGCATAAGTGAAGCTTTTTGGTGCTAATAAAATTGCACATCATTAGAGACAGTGTGAAGACATATCCCGATCGGGATGTACCCCCAATCCGGATATATATCCCGATTGGGATATCATTTTTTACAGCAAAATTTGTTTATGTATCCGGAACGGAATATAGTTTGAAATTATATTCCGTCAGGATATAATTCGATATTCCGATTGAGATATCAAAAAAAATCTATATCCCAATCAGGATATCGAAAATTTTAACTTTTAATTTGTAAGAAAATGATAAATTTTATTTTTTTATATAAGAGCTGAATATTCTTCTTCTTCTTTATTCCCCCTCGCTAACGTTCCTAGCCGTGTCTTTTGTTTCCTCCAGCTGATCGAAGAGACACATATATCTTTTTAACAGACGCAAATAGATTTCTTCTATTAGTCACCTTTCATATGTGAGTGTAGTATAAAATATAACCCTTCGACGATGTGCTCATTTTATAACTTCATCGGTGTTGCAGGGTCCGCCTGGACCCATATAAAGAAAGTTTGGGAAAATCAGTACTTTTGTTTTATTTAAGCAATCCATTTATGTACTAGAAGCCTTTACATATTCTTCTTATGGGCGTTTACACATCAGCTTCTA